AAATTATTATCCGGTTGAAAAATTGAATAAGAAAGTAATATAAAACCATAAGTTACCATATGTGCTGGATATGGAAGATAAAGGAAAACGTTATACAGTTTAATTCGTAAATCGAATCTCTGTTAAGAGTGTATCGAATATCTGACTAGAAAAATCCACTGCGATGATGTTAATATTTAGACTATATTAATATTCAAATTGATAGTTGAGGTATCCATAATCTCTTGGTCAGAAAACTAAAAATTTCAGATTATTGAAATATCCTGTTACGGTACATGTATGGCTCCGTAAATCTTCACTCCTTTATGGATGAAAATTGTACGAAATTGTGAGTTATTAATTAGTCTTATATTACTAAACAACTCTTAACTGTTATTTATAGCTGTGATAATTTATGTCCGTAGTAATTGATGGTTAATTAGGAACAACGATATTTTATTACCACTATTATCAATTTCCAAAATGGAGAATACTATCGACGCTCCATGTTGCGAAATAGTATCGTACTAAGCGTCGTATATTAATTGGTCTTTCATTGATCCATAATTGATTTAAGATTCATTAATGTTGTTTATGCTATATCTCATACTTTAGTGTGTGTTGACTGGAGTCTATATAAACTTGGTTGTCAAGATTCGTATGGTAATAATAAACTAAACTTTAATTATTATAACTTAAGCTAGCTAAGGTGCGCTACTCAGGTTGTCATCAGGGTTAAATTACGGTAATTAGTCATTTGTTAGACTAGCCTTTATCGTCACTGGTGTTCTAGAGCAAGATCTCTTATTACATTCAAATCTAGTTTGTGACATATCCGTTTTCGTATTAAGGGTTTGTATGGAATAAATGAACCTGCTAATAAGCTAAGATCAAAGTAAAAAGAAAATAATAGAAAGAAATTGAAAATAATAAGTTACTGGCAGTTCATTGTAATTATTCTCTATGGTTTCGTCATGATCTGCTTTAAATAATGACAGTCATATTGAACGTGTTTTATTGCAATGTTAGAAAGAAGATAGAAATTAACAACTTCAACTATGATGATTGGTTTATTAAATACACATGGCCTTGGTAAAATAAGCAGTATCATTTTTTTACTTTAATTGACATGGAACCACATGTTGCTTACAGTAAGTTACGGCATCGGATAGTCATATACACTTATACAGTAACAAATGTTCACAATTAGCATCATTTACGTAAATTTATAATTATTGCATATTCTTAATTTAAGAACCATTCTATAATTATTATGAAAGTAAGGAGCCGAATGGTTAAATCCGTAGGATAGTTAATTTCTTTTTTCCATGAAAACAAGGTGTATTCATGCATTCGCATTTGATAGTGTTGATTGGTATATTTCACATTGTAAATGTAATATGGAAGGAAATTTGGTTTTGCTAAAGCAATTTCTAAAAGATAACTTGGCTAACTTTTAGAGACGTAGTTGGCGTTACATAATACTTTTATTATTCTAAGATTTCGTTCGAATAAGCATAAGTTAGCAATCTAATGTTGGGCACTTCAAATAGTGTTTGGTAGATTTGATAGGTTCAAATTTGTTTTTGATTGCAGCAAAAGCCTATCCTTACAGGAAAGCCTTTTGTAGCAAGTTGATGATATTTTTCCACATTCAGATGTTTAAATTAATAACTTAATACTGCCAATCGCTTTGACTGCTATACGATATTATCCTTTGTGATAAGTGCTAATTTGTGTCTAGGTAATTTTCGTTTTGATTACTGTATTAAGGTAGCAAAACTGAAATTGCACGGTGAAGATTAGATTATTTCTAGACTAATAAAAACTGTTGAATATTTTGTATTTGGAATATAGTCTGTAATATTCGCAGAGTAGGTAACAATGTTATAGGTAGCGGAATAGTCCAACGATTCATGATTACAAATCAGCGTCATAGTAGCATTAAGAAACACAGTAGAATACCATAAGTGGCTAGATTCATCTCTTACAAGTTAAATAGTCAATTTCGAGGAATATTTTGAATAATAAAATCATCTCCTCATACAACTAATCTGTTTCTAGAAATTAAAATTTGCAGAAACGCTTACTAAAGAATAATGTCGGGAAATCGATATGACGTTACTCCTGAATCATCAATTTCACGATTTCAATTAACGTTATTCGACCTCTTCAGATGTAATTTGAACTTGAGATATAAATAGATTACTTATTGAATTTACTTTCTTCTTAATTAACTAATCCTTAACAGGGGGTATAACATCGATTTCTTATGATCGGCCAGTTTTTAGGAATTAAATTTGTATCCACAATTAGCCTATTAGTTAGACAATAATCACGGAATCTTTACGCAGTAAAGCTGTCTTATTCATCAAGTCAATCATTCAATTTATGTGCCGATTTCTTTAGGCTTGCACTATTGTGGTTTAAAGCTATTCTTGGATAAACGTTTTCGCTCCAACTTTTTGGCACAAGATAACTTTATTACGAGTTCTATCAGCTCAGTAACGGATTCTGTATCAATCTGGTAAACTGTACAAAAATCGAACAGATTCCTGGTTGCTTTTTGCTTCCATTAGCGTAGTTTAATAGCTTTCTTATTCTAGCAAATAACTCTATTTACAAATATACTAGATTATTTTTTGTCTCATTTCTTTGAATCATTAATGCATACCATTCATTCTGCTTCATCTTTACCTGATTCTAGACTAAATATAGATTATGTGTAGAATTTTATTTCTGATTAACCACTTACATCAATGATACCATTTTATTCTTGCATTTAATTACAATTTACAAATGCAGAATTATTAACAACGCCACAGGCATGCAAATGACGTAAAAGAATTGCATGCTATTATATAAAATTGAATAGATTGTCGTCGATCGAAGGCGTACAATATGAAATACATATAATATGCAAAGAGTACGTAAAATATAATCATAGCCATTCGTGCTAATAACTCAAAACTTACTATTGACTCTTATCAATCCCATAAATGATTGTACAGTCTGCAACGAAGCAAGATATTACATAAACAATGTAAGAGATTACAAATCTAACTTTTTTTTACTGCATGGGCTTTTCTAAGCAATAGCTATTTATAAATACTGCAATAATCAGTTGCATCAATTCAATAGATTACGATAAAATCCATGCAAATTACTCTACAATATTCTATTCTAGATTGATGACAAGAATACGTATATTAATCTGCAGCTTCGCTTCTTGATCAACAATAGTTCATCGTAGGCATTATCAAACTAGCGAATTATACCGGATTAAAGAGTTAGAAGTTATTACGAGATCGAAATGGATCTTTATTATGATCCTTGAATAGACATTCATAAGGTATCCCAAGATTAGTCTTAATGAAATAGAAGGTTTCTAGTTCCAAGGTAGCTCTTATGATGTAAGAAGCACTGCAGGAAGGAATTATTTATAGACATTAATAAGTGATAGCATAATGGACATTTGTGCATATTGTTTGCTACTGGTAAGCTAGTAAATCTATACAGAAAGGCGGCTTTTATATTGACAATAGCAGTCATAATCGATATCTTCGTATAAAATTCTAGCTAAATAATAGTATAGAAGTTTATTTTCCTCCGTATATATTGCAACACATTGATTGATTAATCGGCTAGAAGAAAGGTCAACTATTCTACTTTCTTTCAAGTAGTTACGGGACTGAAGGGAACAGTTTCATCTGTAGTAGGCAAATGTTCTCAAGATAACAACAACTCAGAATATACGTTTTAATAACTTACAGGTATTCACCTCGAATCCTATTTATGATTTAAATTACTTGACCTCAAGCAATCTATCCCTTGGGATAGATATGATTTCATCTAGAATACCGCTTAAGTTTTTACAATCTATTATTGGCATGATGGATAAAAAATGTATTATGAGAGGCTACAATAAGGGCTTTGCTAAATTTTTGGATCTTCGTAGTTAAGATAATCCAATGTTTACTAGAAACTCGTATCACTTAAAAGAACGTGGAAATATACGAACTAAATAACTACAATGAGGGCTTTGCTAAATTTCTTGATCTTCGTAGTTAAGATAATCAAATGTTTACTAGAACTCGTATCGCTTAAAAGAACGTGCATACATGCGAACTAAATAATAAGAAAAAATCCTGATTTGATAAATACTAAAATTTACTCCAAATATTTCAAAGGTAATACGGACTTTAGATCAAAAGTAACTCATGTTATAATTATACCATACATTGAATTACAAAACAGACTATAGTAAAGCAAGATATTTTCCAGCAGAATAGCGCCATAGGAAACTTGATAAGAAGACCTGATGAACTCGAATTTCTCTTATATTATTTATATTATACATAATGAAGTTACGTTTCTGTTGTTAAGGTATTCCAAATTGGTTCGATTATTTCTGTTATTAAGAATTTTCATCTCAAAATTCTTGATAATAATTTATTTCTTGAAAATGTCGAAATAAGCTCTGTAGAAAGAGGATGCAACCACCGCAGGCTATTGAGCTGACGTCAATAATTATAATAGTGTTTATTCGCAACATCGACACAAACATTATACTCTCAACAAAAATAGATGCCTAACAATAAGATCAATGATTGCATGGATCTGTTTAATGAGTAGCTAATGAATTCAGCGATTGATAGAAAGCGTACAAAATACGAATAGCTATACAATTACGATTGCCGATTGATAGTGTCTTGCAAACCTCCTCGATTCTTATATAAGCTAGTCCACTATCAACACTACGTTATTCACGATTCGATTTTGCAACCAAGTGCAAGGAAGGTTAGAATTATAAAGATAAGATAGTAATTTTTTAGAAAAATTTTTGGATTATAATCGAATTTGATCATTAATTAGCTACAGTACAGTAATTAATGAATTAAGATGTATAGCAGCGATTAATTTCAAAATTAGAATAGTTTGCTTCAGCGAATTGATCTTAAATGGCATAAATTTCACATTAAGCGTTAATGTCATTTATATCTATCGCTTCTAGATAATATTCACCAAAGAGAAAATGAACTCCAAATTAGTTGTACTAGCTTCATTATTATTAATAGTTGTAGTCTGCAGCGCTAAAGAAGACCAAGCAAAGCAAAATACTGACGATGATAAGGAACAGTACGACTTTGCTATTACTAGCCGTATGGAAGAAGATGATGGAGACGTAGTGCGATTTAATGAAAGAGACCAAGAGATTGAAGAGTTGAAAGAAGATTTGCAACATCTTAAGAAAGCAGTTAGTTTACGCATAATGATAATGATAAATCGTCCATGATATAGTAATAACTCAAATAGTCGGCTATAAACTATTTAAGATAAGCTTAATGGAAATGTACTAAAGTAGATTTTTATGATTTCTATTTTAGTGGTGGGGCCGACGTCGCCGTCGTCGTCGTCGTCGTCGCAGTACTACTGACACAAATGTTCGCTTTCTTGGGAAAAAAAAATCCAATTAATGCATTAACCAGGCTGATGTTATGCAAGAAACTAGTCATAATTTTAAATAGACCTTCGTTAAGAATCTGTTCGTAGAATATCACTTAGCTTATTTCAGTCATGATCACTAGCCAACTACCTTATCTAATTTGTTACTAAGTTAGTAGTATTTGATTGTCATGTCAACAATCCTATTGCGATTGCTGTATTAAATGATTTCGCTAATATTTGTATGGTAAAATCATTAAAGATAATTTCAACTGTAATCTTATGCTAGTCTGACAGGTGATAATAAATAAATGGCATCGTTATCTTATATCATTAAGATATTCCAGCATTCAACCTTAATAAAGACTATCAACAGCAATTTTTATACGACATAACCAATTCATCAGTGTTGAAATTTAATATCGTATTGCTTTATTCGGTTATTTGTACCACTACTGTAGGGTAACATAACTCTTTTAGTGTATTCAATAATTTGAGACATCACATGTGATTCCTGAAGATCAATCAAAGTTCACTAAAACTGACATGAAGACGTTATAACCAATAATGGAAAGTTATAAGTTATTGCAATGTCGATTAATCTTTCTTTTTTTTCAACTACAGATAATATCTTAGAAACAATTATGATGCTAAAAATATCCCACATAAACATGTTTGTTTGCCTTAATTAGAATGGTCGGTGTAAAAAATTAATGCCGGATTTCTGTGTATCTTACTGAGCTAATAGCTAGTCAGAAGTTTTCTATTTATGGTAATGAATAAGCTAGCCTGAGTCCATATTGCATATAGTAATTATGTAAAAATGACTGATTATTTTTAAGACCTGTTGCGATATTTAGTTTAATTCCAGTATTTTTTCTTGACAATAAATGAATACAGACGCATGAAAACGTACATACCAGCATAGTATATGCAATTAATCGAATTTAAAATCGATTTTAAATCAAAATCTTCCGTCTATGAAGAAACGGGTATATACAGTCTGTAGAAAAATAATACACGGATTCTTGTAAATCAACTTATTCTCTTTCGTTGGGTATGAAATTTATTGCCGAAACGAAAAAATTTCATACATTTGCTTGCACAGTACAAACAAAATACAAAAATTTGCCGTGCACTCTGAGAGTGCACAGTAATGCACTGTAGATAAAATAAAAAAACAAAAATATTGTGCATGAAATAACATCCCGATTTTACTATATTATGTGATCTTGACCTTATCGTTAATATTTTGAGTAATATTAAATACGAGAATATAGATACTATTTCCCGATAACAACGGATGATGAGTATCATGATAGATAGAATGACAGCCGAAATCCCGTATTTTAGCAAATTGGCTATTGCCTTGACTGTCTTTATTTTCATTATCTATAGATGAAAATTAATGTTGGAAGACATCTTGACATTGCTGTAAATCTAGAATACTGCGAGAAGATGCAGGAGGACCATCTAATCGTTCGTCTGCTTCCGCGTAGATCTGAACTTCTTATTAACAGAATTGTAGTAGTACTTTCAACGTTGATTAATGATATATCATTATCTCTTGTCTTGACTTTATCGTTAATATTTTGAGTAATATTAAATACTAGAATATAGATACCATTCCCCGATAGAAACGGGTACTGAGTAGCGTAATATATAGAATGGTTACCGAAATCCCATATTTTAGCATATTGACTATTGCCTATAATATCTTCATTTTTATTTAGGACAGACGAAAAATAATGCAGAAAGACATCTTGGCGTTATTGCAAGTCTAACAAACTGTGAGGAGATGTTGTAGAAGTATCCGATGATTCAAACGCTGAGGTACTGGCAGTATCTAGCTTCATATCAGCTAGACATGAACTATCAATATTTACTGACGGATATCCTGCCTTTGATTGAGAATCTGCTGAGGTTGTAACCGATGGTGTTGAATTGTCTCTTGAGTGTTAACTAACGATGCAATAATCGCCTTAATATTAGCATCCAAAATGTGACTAAGATCATATAATCTGCGATCATAAATGCCATAAACTTCAAGATCGACCATTATATCAGACTCATCAACAGTTTGCGTTGAAGATTGATGGTTTACAAGGTCTTGTTGAGTAAATAACTTCATAATGGATGATTTACCGACGTAGCAAGGACCGGCATACATAGCACGTATTAGGTTATTTCGGCAACTTCTTTGTTCTAATGCTTTCATGTATGTGTCAAATACTGCTCTTTTTCTCATAGCTATAAAATAGTAAATTATATTATCTATCCATGAAATCAAAGCGGATTACTTGCAGGTATTCAAATCGTAACATTAGTGTATTTTATGGATAGCGATTAATCCATTAGATACCGTATCAATATTTACCGTTGTCACCTCTTCTTCGTTTACATCACGATCATTATCACTAGAACTTGGACCTTTCTCAGGTTGTAGTACTTGGTCTTGATGAATTCATAAGAATCAAATGTGTGAAATAATCCAATTTTATAGGCGATCAATAGTTATATAACATTGAAATATACAGAAATCTCTCAAGACGATTCATATGTAGATGCACTTTCTTGAATTTTTGAGCAATCTATCATAAAATAGCATCATACTCGCAAAATTAAAAGTTGAAAACTGTTGGAGCACAAACATTTTATATAAAATTTTTTCAATTATTATTTTAATAGCCTATCAATTTCTGATCTTACCGGATAAATCTTGGTTAGGAATCTCCTGGTTCTGTACTTGATTTGTTTTTTGAACTTTTTCTCCTATTAGTAAAGTGCAAATAGATATCGTGTGTCATAAAGGGAAAATGTTATCAATGTAATGATTGAAAATTATGTTTAAATAAACAGAAATTACCTTGATTTGCGAATAATTGATTGGCATTACCATCTTGTAGTGTTTGACGAATACTGGTAGCTTTTTGTTGCATAGAAGCAGCATCATTGTATCGATGTTGGTTTTCATATGAAATTGCCATCATTGTATAAGTACTGGCAAGGTAAGGATGATTTTCTCCGTGAATATGAGTAAAAATTCTGTTGGCCTTTTCGTACATTGAAATTGCACTATCATACTGACCCAACCCATGATACGCTACTGCTGTGTCGACATAGCAGTCCGCTACACTGTTATGATATTCTCCATATGCTTTTATTAGAATTGTACGAGACTTTTTACATAAGGATAAAACCTGCATGAAATTGCGCTTATTGATATATAGACGTCGCATGCCTTTATAAGAATCAACAATATCTAAATGACTGTCACCAAGTATTTTTAACTTAATACTAAGCGATTTCTGATGTGAGGAAATTGCCTGATCAAACTTGGTTTGAAGACCGTAGATCCGTCCAATATTAGTATATAGTAATGCGGTATCTAAATGATCTTCACCAACCGACGTCAATTGAATTGCAAGCGATTTTTCGTACATAGAAAGAGCCTCATCAATTTTGCACTGATCATCAAGAACACAGGCAACGTTCCTGTACGATATTCCAACTTTAGGATGCTTATCATCTAATAAAGTTAAATAAATTGTAAGAGCTTTACGATACGAAGAAAGAGCTTCGCTTAGCTTGTTCTGCTTCTTGTATACTTCTCCCATATCGTAATGGGTGTCAGCAACATCGAGATGTTCTTCTCCAATTCTCTGAATATTGATTTTGAGCGACTTTGTATACATCAATAGAGCATCATCATACTTGCGTTGCCTTTTATAGATGAATCCAATGCTCCTATATGTTTCAGCAATAGCAGGATCATTTTCTTCAAGGATTCGCTGTTGAACTTGAAGTTTCATTTTCAGCATGGAAAGAGCTTCCTTAAATTTAGCTTGATCACGAAGGATATTTCCAATGCTTTCGTATAATTTGGCAGTTTCTGTAGTATCTCCAGAAAACCTTAATTTAATACCGAGTACCTTCTTAAAGTCATCGAGAGCACTATTTGCATCGCCAAGTAGCAATTTAACACCGCCTCGCATATCCAAACACTTGGCAATTATGGCTGGTTGTGACAATTTCTCAGCTGCATTACAAGCCCTTTGAGCGAATTCATTGGCTTTTACCCACTCTTTTTGTATTACATTTATTTCAGCGATTTGATTCAAAATTTCACATTTTAGTAGATCCATTTCATTGGTAACACTAGACAGTGAATTAATTTTATCCAGGGCTTGTACAAAATAATCTTGTGCCTTTTGGTAATCGTTAGCTTTATTACATTTTTGACCTTGTAAATAGAAGAAATGGATTTCTTGATTGAATTTGGACACGGCGGGTTCATCCTCCATAATCTCAATCTTGACATACAGTATAATAATTGATTGAAAGCAGACAATATTCAATATAAATTAATCTCTTTGCAGTAGTACTATCAGTAAAGTTAGTTTTATCGACGATATTCCAAATAGTTTCAGTATAATTAGCCTCTTTTAGTACCTATAGCCAACTCTAATTTCGCTAACATTCATGGTAGGTCTCCAGGCACGGTGTGTTGTACTGTTTCAATCCTGCCTCTTTATTCTATAAACTTTCCATATAAACTATTATTGCCCCTATATTACAAGAGATCTTTTACATGTTGTTCCTCTAACCCTTGCCTAATCTAATACAATGGATCGATTGCATTGTGCTTAGAGTACATAAAATAACTAAAATTAGCATACAATTACCATATTATGACTTCAGCTCATAGAATCCAGATAATGCCTGGATTAATCAAATGATTTTGTACCTGAAATGGACCTGTTGATTCGGCTAATTCCTATACTTTACAAAGCTGTAAATCCGGTATCTTATTAACTTAATTATAGCTTAAATTCACAGTTACGAGTATGCTTATGCTGCCCATAAAAATATTAGGCAAGAGAGGATTCCTTCAGTGGAAATGATGATAGAAATTGTTATTCTGAACTGAAATCACTAAATGTAGCAGCATACTCTATTGTATAGTATATTAAAGCTGCTATGTTCTTTTTTCTATCGAACACATGAGCTGGTTCTAATACATTTTACTTTTCATATGTACAGTTTTGAACAGTTAATGACTTTGATAAGAACAATTTTTAGCGCAGTCTTCAAAAAATATTAACGCTATCTAAGATATATACATTTCTTTCACGTGTATAGTTTTAATCGGCTAAGTACACTTCCATAAGAACTGTTTATAGCACAAGCTTCAAAATTAAATGTTAATCCTATCATATATATGGCAACAGAACTTAAAAATCAAAGACTCAAATTCTTTCGTCAACTGGTATAGTTTCAGGCAATCTTCGCCGCAATTTCGCCCAAATCGATCTCGTATAACGCAACGATTAGTTTTAATCCAAATTTACAGCTATATTTCAGGCGGCAACGATAAAGCATTTCATAACATCGCATATCCATACTAGAATATTCTTGTGAAATATTCTTTATTTCGTTTCGGTCAATATCTAATTCAATTGCCAATTTTTCCAGTCTGCACTAATACTTCGATAAATTTTTTTTATAAAAGTTGATGTATCTACTGTATAGTGCAGAAAGTGAAAGGAGAGCTGTTTAAACTATAGAATTAAGGGAAAATTAACTATATAAAACGGATACAAGGAGCTGCTATACGAGGTGATATTAGTACTTATTTTCATGCTATGGATAAATTTTTTATCTGTTTTGCGTAATATTTAAATCATCAATATTAAAAAATCGACGATATATGTCTTAAAAGTAACCGCTCATAACTCTACTGGTAACTGCGTGCGTATTTAATTTATTAGCAGCAGCTGATGATTATGCACTCTTCTAACAATTTGCATTAGTAAGATAGTTAAGAGCAAGCTGCAAAAGTTAAGTATAATCAATGCTATCCAGTCTTAACTTCATCGCTAGTTGCAGTAGATGATGTCTGCTCGACTTGTTTCTCTATCCAATGAACAGTAATAGCATAGTTATTATAAAAATGATCGATATAACTATAGCGACATTTTGCATTACAAATAGCATCCAATAAACTGTGCAGAACATTCGGTCTTCGCTATGACACGTCTTAACTTGTTAGATGCTTGTATAGTATCACATCAGTATATTAATGATATAATCCTTATAGATAAACAAGCTTAAAAAGTATTTGGTGTTAATCTGTTTTTGCATTACATAATTATGAAGACTCTTAGCATTTGTAGTAAGCTTAGTAAGCTATCAGTAATTGATACTTGTTGAAACTTTATCGTACTAAAACTAAACTTAATGCAATACTGTAAGATAACTACATCAATTTTTACGTTAAGTAATACACGGATTGATTTCATACGGAGTATAGTAGAAATGCTATTTAGTTATTATAACTTAAGATCGAATTTATAACTTATGAAATGCTACCATAAAAGCATAACCTAAATTTTGATAAATTACTGCTGCAAATGAACTATAAACGAGATCAAACCAATCACTCTATGCGTACCAGCTTCCGGTACTACCCTTTGCTCTTTTTCTTGCTGTTGATCTGTTGAAATGTTTTTGTGTTTCTCGGGCATAGTTTGTGATGAGCCTTCTGATTGTTGATCTGCTTCATAAGCCGATTTTAGCATACATATAAAATGTATTAAAATTAGAAAGGTACCTGGTTTAAACAACAATTTATCTATTATGCTTCTAGGCAGGTGCAACAGTAAAAAGTACGACTAGTTTCTCTATAAAACTATGTTTTCTACAGGTAATTAAAATTGATTCAATATCTGTGAAAGGAAGCTATTGGCAAAAATGACAGTGGATAAATTATTGCGAAATATATGATGTGATGAAGTAACTGTAACTATACTGTATTCGCCTTGTAAGTGTTCAATATTTCTATGATATACCGCTTGTGTTTACTTAATTATGAGCAACAATGCTACCTAGAAGTTTTTTTTTCCTCGTAAATCATCCAGTCTTTAACAGATTTGCTTCTTACACTTATTAAACAAATATAAGATTCTTATATTTATACTTATATATAAATTTCTTATATTTTGTTTGAGCGAAATATATACTGTATATTATAGGCTACATCGACTATCTAAAGGAAAGAAATAAGGTTGGATTTTGAATAGCAACAGTAAATAACCAATGATTCCATCGTCCATTTTATTGCTTAGATTGTTAAAGGTAGTGATTCATGCATGAATGATATGATATGTAGATATCCTAGTTACTTACGCCTTCTATTGCAAGTATTTTGAAGTTTTCAAA